GCCTCCAGCTCACAGATTTTTGTCTTAGCTCAGGAAGGATGGCTCCAGAGCAAACTAATTTATACAGTAGCCAAGTCGCTCGATCACTACTTTAATGCCAGTAGCTCACAAAGTAGAATTTCTTCTCACAAGATTCCACAGCTTAGAGGGAACATTGCCTGTCACTGGCTCACATGTGCCAAAACATACTTCTTTGTAAAATAAATTCATGCTGTGTAAGAAAAAGTACACTGTGTGGATACATGTGCATAAACAGGATAGTTCTGATATCCACCTGTGGGCCTTGAAATCCCTGTTCGCCTGGCAAGCCATCTGGACCAGGTGCTCCTTTCTCCCCCTGTGTAAAGGCACAATTTTAGCAAAGATTTTCTCAGGCAAATATCATCACAATAGTTTCAAATGGTAGCCATGCTGGTCTGCAGTGGAAGAGTGAGGTTCGAGTCCAGTAGCATCTTACAGACCAACAAGATTTGGGGGGGAGAGTATAAGCTCCCCTCGTCAGATACCCCCCAAATCTTATTGGTCTCAAAAGTGCTACTGGACACAGATATATTATCACAATGTTTTTGTTTTGCATGAGTTTCATAACTTTTAAGAAAAACCCTTAACCACATCTGTGATGAGATGAGAAGCAGTGGGGCAAGAGGTGCTGGGAGGGACAGATGCAGTGATGGCAAGGGACCCTGGCCTCTCTGTGGCTGGGAAGGAGGGGAGAAGGTCTGCTCCACTGGATCGAGAGCCTCACTTCCCATTGGACAGAAAAACACACCAGCCCTTTGATGTGTTAACACGTCTTGATTGGAAGGTCCATTTCTGGTGCACTTTGGCACCCCGATTGGCTGAAGGCCCTGGAGCACACATGGAGTGGGGTCTGAAAATGGGAGCTGTTCCTCTGTTGGCATTGTTGGGAATCCATGGCTCTGTGTGTGTTTGCTGGGTTTTTGGCCATGACAGATGACTACTAGTGGTACAAAAGAAGGTTGCGTCTTGTAACTAACATCTTGCAACTAACAAAGACCAGATATACCATGAATTGTAAATAACTAGTTAGTAACAGTGTTAGGACTGGTTAGGACAGTGTTATCGAGGCAACGAACATGAAATTAAGCAAACTCTGGAGCACAACGGAAGACAGGAGGGCCTGGCGTGACGTGGTCCATGGGGTCACGAAGAGTCGGACTCGACTGTGCGACTGAACAACAACAAAAGTTAGTAATTGTCCTTTTGTTTATTTTGCTGAGTCCACCTAGATTCTGTCCCTTAACTGGAGATAGTCTGCACGAATCCTTACCCACCCACCTAGCTACTTGGCAACACCATTGTGGAGTTGGCCTCGGGCAACCCACAAGAGAGAAGGGGGCTGGATTCTACCCCAAGGTGGTGGTGCTGACCAGGGGTCTTGTTGTAGAAAAAGAGCTGCCGGAGCTCATTAGCATAACTCATTAGCATAACTTATTTGCATATGCCACGCCCCCTGACATCACCGGAAGTGACAGAAGGCCACACCCCCTGACATCACCGGAAGTGTGTCAGAAGGCCCGGCTACTTACCCTCCTGCTTCATCCTCATTCCCAAACGGAATGAGGATCGAAGCAGAGGGCGGGGTAAAGAAGGGGCGGGGCTTCACCACGTGACCGCCCCACCCCCTAGAGGTTCTCTTCCGGAGCTCCATACCTGAGAGCTCCCCCCCGACTAGAGCCCTGAAGATAAATGAAATGAAGGGATCACTGCAAAAGCATCTTTATATGTTTGTGCATACCAACAGTATTACAGGGATCAGATGTGGAAGAAAAATCATACAGTCAAAATGGAAGCCGATGAAAATCATGCAAAACAATGCCAACGGGGGGGGGGGGACCAA